TTTGTTTTTTTGTTTTTGGAACCAGGGATTGAACTCAGGCCCTTGCGCTTGCCAGGGAAGTGCTTATTCCACTGAGCCATCTCCCCAGCCCCTCTCCTCATATTAGAATTTTACCTGAATTGGTAACTGTGCCGAGACGTAAGGCAAACAGATTTGTTTCCATCCTCTTCCTGAAGCTTCCCCAGTGCGGTACGCGCAAGGCTGTGCTCTCAGCCTGGAGGCCGGCTGGCGAGCTTCGTGGGTGCAGTCTAAGCTTCAGCAGGCACCGGTGAATTTTACAGAAAGACCAGGTGGAAACGAAATAAAATAGGCAACTTACTAAGCTAAGGATCTGGCTATGTCGTATCTCATATACTGATGAAAATAACTGAAACCCCGTCCAGTTCAGATGCTTGGGGTACGAGCTGCCTGGAGGAAGTGCACAGACTTGGGTTTCCAGATGTTCCTTTGTTTTCGTCTGTTTAGTACTCAAGTCCACTCTGTTCCCTGTCTCAGCGCCCAGCAGTCACTTAGCTGTAGGCCGTGTAAGTGTGTCCTAAAGCCAAGGGCACGGTGTTCGTGTTCCTCAGCTCTCCCTTCGCCCCTAATCTGCCTCTTAGCTTCTATTCATCGCTGCCCAAGGAACTTTCTTCCCTGTGTATGTGTCCTAGAAAAGAGACCTACAAAATCAGGAAGAAGTAATGCTGGCTCAAATCAGTCATCCACCTTTTTTTTTTAAAATGTATTTTGTACAAGGTCTCACTACACAGCTTGGCCTCATACTGATCTTCCTGTCTCAGCCTCCCCAGAGCTGGGATTACAGCCGTGCACCACCACGCCCAGTCTTGGTGGCTGGCTCATCCAGGGCCAGCAAAGCATGTGCTGCCAGGGATCGAATCCTGGTCCCTGAGCTTGCCTGAGGTGCTTAGTCTGCTGAGCTATCTCACCGGCCCTAGTCATCTACTATGCTTAAGCCGCAGGTTTCTCAAAGCACTTTCATCCTTTTATCTAAAACCTCAGAATACCTTTATACAAACTTCTAGCGTAGCTGAGTATTCAAGCTCAGCCGCAAACAAAGGGATTCAGTGCTTGAGCTAACAGAAACCTTAGTAGAAAAAGACAGAACTTTAACCCTTAGCATGACCCTGCGGGACACTCGTGCATGAAGAAGATTGATCTTTATCTTCCGCTGCCTGTGGTCACAAAGCTGAGGACTGTGGCCAGAAGGACAGCAGGTCCACAGTCCCACAGTGGCTCTCCCACCTCTGTGGGGTGGAGTCACAGTGCAGTGACAGCCGCTGCAGACAGCCTTTCATCCGTGTGCATTTGGTTGTCAGCAGTGAGCTGCTCCCCTGGGCTCTTTAAACCTCCACCTCACCCATCGTGGCCTGACACTGCTTTGTGAGCCAACAGCTTTGTACCGTGGCATGCAGTGTTTTCTGGAAGGTTGGGCATTCGAAGCAGTGAGTCCTAGCCCCAGTTTTTACATATTCTGTGTGTCTCCATTTCCATTCACTGTGCCTTTTTTTAAAAAAAAAAAAGTCGAGACAAACAGATGTCGGGCTGTTTCGCTTTGATTGATCACCGCTGTCTGAGCGGCTCTGGCCTGTGGTGAGGCGTCTTGGTGATGCAGCCCCAGGACAGGCCCAGAGTGCAGGAGAGAAGGCAGCACAGGAGCAGATTCCAGCACGCTGCAAAGAATCTTTTCCTTCTATTGGGACTGTGTAGACATGGCGTGGGCAACTTAGGAAGATGGAAAAGATCAGCCTCTGAGGGGAGAGCTCAACTGTGTGATTTTTGAGGCCCTTGGCAGTGCTGGGGTTTTGTGATTCCCATCCTTTGTGTCATTCGTTTGTTTAATGCGCATCATTTACATTCTGAAGAACATTTTTGGTGCTATTCCTCTAGAAATACTTTCGCACCTGCTGGTGGTTATTTTTCCCACTTCAGTGAAGCCATCTCGGCAACCATACTAAAGCTCACCTAGAGAAGAGGTTTGTCCAGTGTCTGCAGTGTTGATTGTTTGCATTCTGTGTCATAATGGGTGCAGTAGCCCCACCTCAGGAAAAGTTTTTATAAAATAATATACAGTATTTATTTCTCTAAATATATGTCTTTATGGGAAGATAGCTCGGTGGTCTAAGTGCCTGCCTAGCAAGCACAAGGATAGAGGTTCGATCCCCAGGACCATGTGTTGTGATGCCCCAGGACCCCGGGTGCACTGTGCTGGCCACCAAAATTGGGCAAGGTGGCACATGCCTGTAATCCCAGCACTGGGGAGATAGGAGGATCGCAAGTCTGAGCTGTGTGGCAAGATCCTGTAACAAATAAATAAATAAATCTTCCATTATTATACTTATAGGTGAATTTTTCTCAAATTTTCTCCTTTGGATGTTAATTATTTCAAAAAAGTTACTTGTAATTATTTGTGAAGGTAATAACCCTTACTGCAGAAAAGTGGAAACCTGAGAAAAGAAGTAAAATCCACTTACAATTCTATTCACAAGGAGTCCTTTTGCACTAAATGTACTGCAATCCAAAGTCTGAAATTTATTAGATTGTTTTTTTAGGTCTCTAATTAACCTATCTCATAATTATAGTTCATTTAGTAGGAGAGCTGTGCTGGAAATGGCTCATAATGGATAGCATCCGTGTATGACCTTATCTTGTACGAAAATGTTTCTCTAATAATCATTTCCCTTAATTGTCCCAATGAAACTACAGGATAAAGGATACAAATGTTATCCTCTCCCTTCCCCTTTTGAAGATGGTGAATAAATGTATCTAATAAAACATTGCATGAAATGCTTGATAATGGTTTAAGCCCTTTACAATTACTATATAATCCTTGTTACTATCCTGTAAGGTGCTGTTGGTATTCCCATTTGACAAATGAGCAGCTGAGATGCTAAGAGGTCAATTAATTTGCCTGAAATCACCCATCTCATCAGTGGCAGAACTGGGATTTGAATACAGACTGCACAGTTGCTCTTAACTCGTATGCAACCCTGCGTCCCACATGCATAAAGTAAGAGTGTACAGATTCCGATTCCTCGTGCAGGGTCTGTGTGCACTCGCTGTGTAGGCGCACACCAGGCATCCACCTTTCTGGAGCCTGGCACGTAGCGCTGCCACAGAACTCTGTGG